ATTTGTTTATGCAAGGATATGCACAACAGTGTATTTCAGATTGCAGCTCGAACTCGGCCTCCGGACCGACCTGAATACTTGGGCGGACCTGCACAAAAAGGTGAGCACTCCRACGATCAAGTCAGTATAGGTCGGATTCCCAGTTTAGTTCGAGGTCAGAAATCATCGYMCCTGATCGTGGAGTGRGGTCCTCTACTTATGGGTGGTAGTCCCGCTAATCTCGCGACGGTTACACTCGGTAATCTCGGGACCGTCGGTTACACCCGGTAATCTCGGGACCGACGGTTACACCCGATAATCACGCCGCTGACAGTAGCTCACATCGGCCCCTACCGAGCTTCCCGGTAGGTCGGACCTTGGCCAGGTTCACCTCGGCCCTCATACTTAGCATCTGTCGACGCTAGTGGTGGTGATCTCGGCGGTCCGAGCTGGGCATGACTCATGAGTCATCTTGGACCACCAATAGGGGTCCTCCACGTGTCCAAGGTATTCTCTTCCCCAAACACGATTCAACCATAAACTAAGTCTCTCTTGGACCAGTGAGAGGGTGCGGCCCATTGGTCAAGTTCCGAAATCAGCACTGAAGGGAACAACTCATCTAGTTAACTTAAAATAGGAAGGAGTGAATTTCATCTTGTGACACTATATATTCCCATCTTCTTATTTGGTCAAGTCCCAAAAATAGTAGAATTATTAAATCGACTACAAAAGTCGTTCCAACCCATGTAAATCAAAGGACATACCCTCATAGACAGAAGTTCATAAATCACTCAGAATTAAGATCGAGTTACATATGATCATCATATAAAATACTTATCTTTTAACGGATTTACAAAGAAATATTAAGTATTTCGAGGTCCAATTTTATATAAACTCATTGTATATGATACTTCCACGCACATATCTCTACATGAATGATTTAGATCAAATCCCCTGTAATATTTACAAAGTGGACCGTATAAATAGTGTTACTAGAATAGGGCACCCAACCTTATCCTACTCAAGACTCTTTTAGGTTATAACTTGAACACAATCTTCTTTATGTTAACTACATACTGTTCAAGATTATATTTATAACCTTTGATTTTCATAAAAATTGATAATAAAAATTGCATATAATCAAAATAACTAAATTATTATTTTTCAAATAAATAATAAAAATATTTATTAATTACAAAGCTTTAAGGCATAAATTCCGACATTTGAACCCTCTGGAATCAAGAGTACTCAAAGAAATTAAGTAAATCTAGAATATGTTTCACATAAGCAAGTGTTCTGTTTGGGGAAGGGAATACCCTGGACACGTGGAGGACCCCCATTGGTGCTCCAAGATGGCTCATGAGTCATGCCCAGCTCGGATAGCCGAGATGGCCGCCACTAACGTCGACAAATGCTAAGTATGAGGGCCGAGGTGAACCTNAACAGTGTATTTCAGATTGCAGCTCGAACTCGGCCTCCGGACCGATCTGAATACTTGGGCGGACCTGCACAAAAAGGTGAGCACTCCGACGATCAAGTCAGTATAGGTCGGATTCCCAGTTTAGTTCGAGGTCAGAAATCATCGTACCTGATCGTGGAGTGAAGTCCTCTACTTATGGGTGGTAGTCCCGCTAATCTCGCGACGGTTACACCCGGTAATCTCGGGACCGTCGGTTACACCTGGTAATCTCGGGACCGACGGTTACACCAGGTTCACCTCGGCCCTCATACTTAGTATCTGTCAACGTTAGTGGTGGTGATCTCGGCGGTCCGAGCTGGGGCATGACTCATGGTCACCTTGGAGCACCAATGGCTGTCCTCCACGTGTCCAGGGTATTCTTTCCCCCAAACACAGTTCAAGGACTAAATCGTTTCTTGATTGAGAGTAGAGGGACCAAATTTTCGTATGATTAGAGTTTGACTTTCTAAGAAATCATAATTATCATCTTTACCTGAATTTTAAATCGTGTTTTTACCCCATTCTTTAATTTTCAGAACCAATGATAGGTTTCGTCCTCCAACAAGGAGAATTCTCCAATATATTTTTTGAGAAACTTTAAATTATTTTATAAACAAAGACAAACAACTAATTTAATAATATATAAAGATTATTTTATAAAACATTGAGTAATTTTTATTAGTAACATATAAATAAAAGAGTTAACAGGCATATTAATATTAATTAAAAACTTCACAATCAAAGTGGGGAGAGAGTCAATGTTATAGTGAGAAACCATTGCCTATCTCCATCCAAAAATTGAACTTAGAGGAACAACTTTCTATTCCTACTCTATTCTTAGTCAAACTAAGACTCAGCCTTCTCCAATCAAACCCACCTACAATGAAAGATTGTGATTCTCATATTAGGTTCACATCATATAACTATTAAAAACAGAAATAAGTCTCGGAGTTTAACTACTTTGAAGCGACTTAAAATATGTTATTATCTCATTAAATTCAACCAAGTATTCACCTACTAAATAATTAAATCACTAATAATATCTCATGAGTTAATTCGAACATAGTATACTAGATAAAATGTCTCTTGAGGTCGAATATTCAATTTCTCACTCTATACATTAGTTGAATTAAAAAAAAAGTATTTTGTGATTGTGCGATGAAGCGGAGCTTACTTCATCCCTATTTTTAGTTGAGTCCAAACCTATCCCATAATTAAAAAAGATAATTTCCATATTAGATTCATAGCAAGTGATTAAAAAATTTGAGTCGAACCTAAAATATCCACTAATACTATAAAATCCAACCAGTGTAATATTATCTATAAAAGAAAATACCCACAGTTTATTGTTGTTAGGAAATGATTAAATTAATTATAAAATAAACCCAACGGTAATTAAAACAAAAATGGAAAATGGAAAGGAAAGTGTGTCTCCGTAATTTCATTCTCGCCTTCTGTTTCAGAAATAAAAAACCGTACGGTTTCTTCGGCAGGCAAGTTTTGAGAATTATATATTTTAGTGGATAAAATAAAAATTTGGTTGACGCTAATAAATAAATAAATAAATAAATATTTGGAAGTTTCACTAAGTAAATAAATAAATGCCCTTTGTATTATAATAATAATAAACGCCCCCTAATTAATCCTTTCCCATATCAAAAGATGAGTGAATTGGAAACGACAACTTGGAATTTGAATACACCAATTTTCTTAAACGCAAATTTAAAATTCCAAATAAAAATTTCCAGAATCGCTGGTTTGGCGTCCGCGTTCACATTCAATTTCAAATCAACGCATTCCTGGCGATCGTTTTCGTCACAAAAATTGGTCGTCGCTCTCTGATTCACAAATCACTTCCCATTTTTCCACTCCCACTACAGGCTGTCAAATTACCAAAAATCAAGGAAATGGCGGCAGAATCTTCATAAATACCTACAGCCACAGCCAGTGCGAGATCCGCGTTCTTCTCTTACATTCTCAGATGGATCGGACCGGAAGGGAAGGCGATATGGATGAGAAGCTGAGCGAGATGGATCCGAATCAGAAGAGTAAGAGATCAGTTAGAGGAGAGGGATTAATGGCCGAAGAATCGATGTCTGTGGAGAGGAATTTCGAAGCGCAAGAGGTGCCGTCGTGGCCGAACCAGCTGACGGCGAGAGCGTTTCTAGTGAGCTTTGGGCTGAGCGTGATGTTCAGTTTCATCGTGATGAAGCTCAACTTGACCACCGGTGTTATTCCTTCGCTCAATGTCTCCGCCGGACTTCTTGGCTTCTTCTTCGTCAAGACCTGGACCAAATTTCTCGAGAAATCTGGATTTCTTAAGCAGCCCTTCACCCGCCAGGAGAACACCGTGATTCAGACTTGTGTTGTCGCTTCCTCCGGCCTCGCCTTCAGCGGTAAGCGCCTTGATTTTACCTCAACTTTCCTTTTTATAATTACTTGTTAGGGTTTCGATTTCGGAAAACTTCAACGAAGATCGCTTTGCAACTACGAATTTTCATCGCTGAAAACCTCAACATGTAAGATCGTTTGATAATCATTTTCCTAATTTTTAAATAAATTTCAGGAAAGTTTTTTTTAGTGATTTTAATTTCATCTTATTAAATCATTACCATACTAATCGATTAGATATATTTTTTTTAAATGTTGAAGATTTGCATCAGGAAAAAGGGAAAGAAAAAAAAAAACATCAAAAGCCTATTTTATGACCATTATCATGATCATGTTGATACCTTTTATTTGGATTTTTCTACCGATTTTGTTGTTAGATTAGGATAATTCTTATACTTCGTTTTGTTTATTTTTTTATTTTTGTAATTTAGCCTTTTGGGACGGTTTGATGTCCATTTTCCTTTTAGTTTTTTATTTTTGTTGAAATTTTCATGTTTCTGGAAAATATATTTAAATTTTTAATCAATTTCAAAAATAAAAATAAAAATTAAAAAATTATTTTTGTTTGACTTTTAAAATTTAACTTAGATTTTGAAAATGTTTAGATGCCTATATAACGACGATGGGTGTATTTTTTCTAAACTTAACTTTTAAAAATAGATAACCAAACGGGATCTTAATTCATTTGAGAATATTTTAGATTAAAATAATAATATTTTTTAATAGAAGCAAACGTTAACACAATAATTTTAGGATATTGGAAAAAATCTGATTCTCTTTCAAAATTTTATAATGAGTGTGGATGGGCCATTGAACAAAAAAGTAGTCATTTTGACTTTGACTGGACAAAAAAAATTCATAATACTATTAAAAAATGCCGAGACCAGTAATAATAAATCCTATTTTTAAAACATAATGGAGTGGAAATTGAAATATTGATACGATATTGACCACAATTTTAACAATATTCTCTCCAATAACTTTAATTAAAAGGATTAACTTGAAACTTTAAATATTAAATCGAAAGAAAGTGAGATAATCTTGTTTATTGACATAACTTTTATGTCAAAAAAATAGAAAACAAAAACAGTATTTTTCTTGTTTATGTCAATGTTTTAGACATTACTTGATTTAATGTGTTGCATATTAATTATATAGAAGAATAAATAAAAAATATGAATTTTAAAAATTAAAAATAAAAGAGAATAACATAAAAAGAGTTTGAAAGAAAATTGGTAGAAAATATATCTAAACAGCCCTCAAGTGGATGGGGCAGAAACCATTAAAAAAACAAATTTAGTGTTTTGTTCTATTCTATATAAATGGAATGATAAGGATAGACTTGAAACCATATAAAATAATATATAATTTGCTTGCGTGAGCGTGACAGAAGATTCTCTGGATTTTTTTCTCTCAAGAATCTTCAAGTTGGCCATGATGAGTAAAGTATTGAATATCCAGCCGCAAAATGAGGCTTTTAGAAAAATAAGGTTCTGTTTCTCTTTTTTATTCTTCTAAAAGGAAAATAGTCAACATACCAAACAGATCACATTGCAAATGTTTTGACTGTTTATCGAACATAGAATCTTGAAAAGAGTATGAAAAATACTTGCTTTGACACACTGGGGAGTAGTACTAGTCTATTCTATTGTATTTAATACTATGAATTCTGTTAAATCTTTTTAGTTCAGAAAGTCAGTAGAAATTCTTACTAGTGTATAATAAAATATTATTCTTTAAAGGAAATGGATAAAAATGGTTATTTTGTATTTGATGTTATAAAGAATGTTGATATATATGTATTTGATGCAACAGGAGGTTTTGGGAGCTATCTATTTGGACTGAGTGAGCGCATTAGCAAGCAATCGGCCGGAGATGTGAATGACTTCAAGAACCCTTCATTAGGATGGATTATTGGTTTTCTTTTCATCGTCAGCTTTCTCGGCCTCTTCTCGGTCGTGCCTCTACGGAAGGTAATATTCATCAAGTTTTTAAAGAGACTTTACATTATTAAGGCACGAACGACGTGTCGTGCTCTGATTTTTCAACTTTCTTAATTCTTGTGGTTGGTTTTCTCAGATAATGATCATAGATTTCAAATTGACCTACCCAAGTGGTACTGCCACAGCACATCTTATCAACAGTTTCCACACTCCTCGAGGAGCCAAACTAGCCACGTTAGACTCTCTACACTAAAAATTTTGTATTCTTCAGCATATTCCATGGTTTAAATACATAAAAAGTTGAATCTTACTAATATGTTCAAGCCATTAAAAATTTATTTAACACATCATAAGCGAGAACTCTCGGTCATTGAAAAATTTTCAATACTATGGTAGTATGAATATTTCTTCCATTTATTTTTCACCACACTAACATTATTTAAGAATGATGTTAGGCCAAGAAGGAGAAACACTTTAGTTTGGGTAATGTGTTCGTATCGGACAATTGTTAGAGACTCCGACACTTATTAGCTTAATAGTTATATGTCACACGGTACAAAGTGAATATGGATTCAACACTTGTTAAGAATAAGAAATAGACATAAATAGTAAAATATGATAAAGTAATAAATTTTTTAGAGTAAAATATATCAAACTCATTTTCTAAGCATAAAAATGCATAAGATTATTAGCTTTGAGTTTTTTTCCTGGTATAAAAATGATATATAATTAAAATAAAGTGATATATTTTAATAAACGTGTTCTTGTCGTGTTGTATCTATGCTTCTGAGATGTCACGTCTTGAAAGTATTAAGAAATTATTTAGAAATGAAAAAAATTTCCCTTACTAATAGGTGTGGAGGCAAGTCTTTTTTTTTTTCAATCAAATATATTGTATTGTTTGTAATTTTGATGCATTCTGTATCATAGGAAGCAAGTGAGAACGCTTGGGAAGTTCTTCTCTTTCAGCTTCTTGTGGGGCTTCTTCCAATGGTTCTTCACTGCCGGAGATGATTGTGGATTTGTCAATTTCCCTACATTTGGCCTCAAAGCTTACGAATACAAGTACTTCTTATATCCCTTGCTATCAGTTATCCAGTGTTTCCTCAGCTTTAATTTAAAAAAACCCACATTTCTTGCTGCAGATTTTTCTTCGATTTCTCTGCAACATATGTTGGGGCAGGAATGATTTGTCCGTACATCGTTAACATATCTATATTGCTTGGAGGAATTCTTTCGTGGGGTATAATGTGGCCTCTCATCGAGACTAGAAAAGGAGATTGGTTCAGTGCTGATCTGAAGCCTTCCAGCTTTCATGGCCTTCAAGGCTACAAGGTCAAAAAAAATCCCTTCAGCTCCCTTGAATTTCATTCTGAAAGCTCTTACGATTCCAATATTTATTCTCTCCATGTAATTCTCTTTGTGGGTTCAGGTGTTTATCGCCATTGCCTTGATTCTGGGTGATGGGATTTACAACTTTGTTAAGGTGGTGGCAAAAACTCTATCAGGTTTGTACCATCAGCTGAGGAAGAAAGATGTGATCCCGGTCTCTGATGCTTCCCCTTCTTCGGCCTCCGACATATCATTTGATGACAAACGAAGGACTCAAATCTTCCTCAAAGATCAGATTCCCTCGTGGTTTGCCATCGGAGGCTATGTTGCGATTGCAGCCATAGCGATAGCCACTTTGCCGCACATGTTTCCACAGCTGAAATGGTATTACATATTGGTCATCTATGTGATTGCACCGGCACTAGCTTTCTGCAACGCTTATGGCTGTGGGCTGAGTGATTGGTCCCTTGCGTCTACCTATGGAAAGTTTGCCATCTTCACGATTGGGGCGTGGGCTGGCAGTACACATGGAGGAGTCGTGGCAGGCTTAGTAGCTTGCGGAGTGATGATGAACATCGTCTCGACGGCATCGGATTTGATGCAGGATTTCAAGACCGGATACATGACACTAGCTTCACCACGTTCCATGTTTGTGAGCCAAGTGATAGGCACTGCAATGGGATGTGTCATATCTCCCTGTGTGTTTTGGCTATTCTACAAGGCATTTGATGACCTTGGCCAGCCTGGGAGTGAATATCCAGCGCCTTATGCAGCTGTATACCGAAACATGGCTCTTCTCGGGGTCGAGGGCTTCTCTAGTCTCCCAAAGAACTGCCTCACCTTATGCTATGTGTTCTTTGCAGCAGCCATTGTTATCAATGTGATAAGAGACTTATCAGGGAAGAAGGTCAGTCGGTACATTCCAATACCAATGGCAATGGCGATTCCGTTCTACATAGGCTCGTATTTCGCCATCGACATGTGCCTCGGAAGCCTGATATTGTTTGTGTGGGAGAAGATAAACAAGGCCAAGGCTGAAGCTTTCGGACCTGCGGTGGCGTCGGGTCTGATATGTGGCGATGGAATATGGACATTGCCCAGCTCCATCCTGGCTCTGGCTGGAGTTAAGCCTCCTATTTGCATGAAGTTTCTATCGAGGGCCACAAACATTAAGGTTGATAATTTCTTAGCATCATGATTCATGAAGCTTTTGTTCGCAGCCACAACAGAAGGTAATATTCTAAATATATTTAGTGTGTTTATATTATAAGCTTCACAGTACACAAGGGACTCAACCAGCTCCTTTTGATGTCTAGTTTTTTTTTTTTTTTTTTGAGATAAAATCTCCTTGATGTCTAGTTAGTTGTGATTCAACTGTCACTGTCGTATATTATGCATGAACTCTTACGCATGTTGTCAAAATATTTATAAATAGTTGTTTTCTGGTCAAATCAATGCGTCTGCTCTGCTCAAAATTCATAGATAAAAGATAAAATATATGTTTTTAGTATTTAATAGGGAAGAAAATATACTCAACATTTCGTCAGTAAAGATAAATTTATATTTACTAGTTATATATACAATTGAAAGCAACGAATAAAGTGATTATTTTCTTAAAAAGAAAAAAAAAGTCTCCAAGGACTATTATAATGAAACTTTTTCAATTATAAAATCTAAATTAAAATTAAGGTCAAATCATAGGAACTATAATGATAATATATCAAAAAATGTCTAAATTTGCACAACAGATGCATGCAGTAATTAAAATTTTGAATATATATATCTCAAATGGAATAAAGAATATGATAGTTCAATTTTGTACAGAAAATATGTAAAAATCAAGGCCGGAAGTCAGCATGGTTAGAACAAAAGGGCCTTCTCCAAAGTACGCAAAAGGGAGAAGTGTAAATTCTTGCTCATACGCCAAGCCAGCCAATAAGAACGCGTGAGCAATCTAAATTTTCAACCACGAATCAATACACATTTTGAACCTGAAAATGCAATCGAAGCAGAGATTTAAATGGTCAATTTTCTTGTTTGAAATTTTGAAGTTCATTAACGCTAATTAAATAATGAGATATTAGCCTGAAAATAGCATTACCAGCCACAGTATCTTAACCTGATAATTTTGGTCCACATAATTACTCCTCCGATAACAACCAATAAGCTACAATTAACTGAATGATTTCTTATCTAAAATACCTAGTTTAAACTAGCATACTGAATTTTCATCCCTAATTGATATTTCCATTTGTTCGTGGTTCCGCATCTAACGTATAAAATTTTGGTTTTAACTAGGTATAACATTTCTTGGAACTGAGATATGAATATAAACAGTCATTGAATGTTAAAATCACAATCCAAGAGAGTCGAAATCAATAGGCTGATGAAGAAGTTGATGTACCTTAAGATAGGATGACGAGACCGAGATAGATAGATGCACATAAGAAGATAAATGATATCATTCCCCTGCAAAAAATGATCATTCAAGTTAGAAGATGGATGGATAGAGAATTGATATGCAACCATGAACATCATTACATTTCAGCCCTTCAGGATAATATTATCAAAAATAAAAACGTTTCAAAGATTGACATGTTACCAAATGACGCCCCATCCAATTCCATTACAAGGGCATGGACACAGTTCTGCGAACTTCTCAGCATCGCTCGAGTTGACTCTTCGTGAAATCAAGTCATCATATATATCTGCACGAGTTATAGGGTAAACCATATGATTCTTTTGCAATAACAATCTGGGTTTCTAGTAATGTTATCATATTTATAGAGAGATTATGATATACCGTAAACCGAGAACAAACTGTTCATCACACCTGCAAATCATAAAAATAGATGTGAGAAACCCTTCTTAATCTAGTGAGGAAAAAATACGTAGTTCGAAGAACAGCTATTACAGGAAAAATATATACCAATGAAAAGAATGACATAACGAAGTATGCGAACTGTAGTTGTTTCCTGCAGGACCCAAATAACCGCAAGGAAAATAATAAATCCTGAGATATACAGCAGGTGAATGTCAATATCAAGAGCAACTAAAGTGGTGCTGTATAAACTTTAATTCCTACGAAAATATCATGGGAACTTACCAACACAGAGTCCTCTAAGCGTCCACTGTAAAAAGGATGACATAGAAAATTAGAAATTGAAATTTAATAGAAATTGATAATGGTGAAACTGGACGGTAATATCAGAAGATGATGTAAAAGTATGTCTCGCTCATTCTTTTACTTACATTTTTTGCAATGAAGAGTACAATTAGAAGAGCCAAACCCAAACAGCCAGCTGCAATTCTTGCAGTGAGAAGATTAGTTGATGCGAGAATCATAGCCATTCCCCAAAATGATGATCCAAGATCTAGATTGAAGTGAAAGAATAAACAAAATGGGAAGCAGTTCCAAGAAAATAAATTTACAATGGAAGAAATAACACGAACTCAATTGGATAAATATATGATAACACTTTTCTATAGATACAATTATAATTGTGAAACATATTTTCAAGCGACCTAACCAAATAATCCACTCCACTAATTGAGACAAGTTAAGGAACTGAGTGTTCTGAGACTCCCAAACAACTCGACCAGAATGGGTCGTAGTTCAAGCTCAAAGGTAAGATATGGAGGAAGAGGTTGCATTTCTATATTTGAACCATACATGCTCCATAGCTGGGAGATGTTAAAAACTAAGTGAGTAATCTCGCCAGAAAACTAGTAATATAACTTAGTGGACTTTGACTCTCGATAGCTTTGACTTTCTACATCACAAAGACATGTTACAATTTACGGAGCATTTAAACCAGTACATTCAATTATTGATTTATTTATTTTCATATTACGATTGTACAGAAGTAGTTGTCAAAGAAAACAAAAATAATCTTATTTAAGTATGGACTTGAAACCCTCATTCATCAAGGATGGGAAGGTGGTAGGAGCAAATGGCATAGTGACTAACTTGTAGTGACTTTCGTGAGTTCTAAAAGCAATTTAGATTGTTAGCATATGTATGCCCATCTCTATACTGCAGAATGGATGAACATGCACACAGTTGAATTTTTCTATATATATATTAGACACTCGAGTTCTAAACATGATCCGCTGCTGATCTCATTGCTTATCAGGGAATAGAAGGAAGTGGAATAAGAGAATTACATCCTGCAGGCAAAATCAACCAATATGCACCACCACGTGTTTGAGTGACCCCTCCCTCATTTGCATGAACCTGGATTCCTTCCACCTGCATATAAACTGGTTACGTCAACTTCCTCTAGGAGCATTTATCCCAAACCATGGAAATCTCTAAAGAGATAGCATAATGACTTCAAAAATTGAACTTAAAACCAGATCACCATTTAATGGTTTCATGAACAACCAAGATATCCACACCTGGTTAATTAATGGAATGGATGATTATTCAGCTTTAGATGTATAGATAACTGTCTCATAGCAATGAAAATATTATACAATTCAGTAGCGAAGATGTCTTCTACAAGGTAAGAAGATGGCATGAATTAATTTTTAGTGGAAATTGCTAAACTGGGTCAAGATAACTAGTATAGGAGAAGATAGAGAGAATATCTAAAATAGGGATAATGTGAGACCACGCATCCTCAAAGAAGCCAAACAACTACAGACGCAAGTAAAGACAGAAAGAAGATAAAAGAAGATTGGAATGCACGGATATCTCAATGGTCCTGATAGCAGATTCATATCCTACATCTAGTGGCAGCAGAAGAATCTTATTGAGAAAGAACACCAGATACATATCTTTTCAATTGCCACAGCATATAGAAATGAAGAAAAAGCTTATACATCACCACAGGTAAGCTTGCAAGCTATTGCATGGCTTGCTTCGTGCAGGAAAACAGTAATGAGCTTGAAAGGAGTGATTATAAATGTCCTCCATAGCTGTCATAATCAGAGGGAAAAAATCAATATTCGTCAAGCAAATAAAAAGGGTGAGAATAAAGGTCGCCCAGCTCATACAAAATAAGGAGTCCACCTCAAGTAAACTCGAGAAAACATCTTCACTTTTTCTTATCAGAAACCATAAGGTACTGGTATTAACACACCAAGGAATTCCGACCAAGTTCCTAGGTTCTTTCACTAAGTCAGATGTCTAGTTTCATTAAAAAATAGGAAAAAAAAAAAAGAAAGTTGTTTGAGAAGTTAGAACTTGTCTAACAAAGACTACGAGAAAACGTGAATGAAACTGAGTTCTTCAGAAATTGAATATCTACACTCAGTTCAAGTCTATTGTTTGGATCCGTCGGCGGTTGGCTAAGAAGACTGTGGATACAGATAGAGATGTAATGTAGATTTAAGATCTCCCACTCTCTCCACCACCAATTTTAACTCTTCAAATAGTTAACTACCTATATATTCTACCATGGTGTTTAAGATGAAAATAAATAGCGTTCATGAAGATTTAAGGTCGGGGAGAAACATTAATCGTAATTTGCGAATAAACAAGGAAGAGCCATCATGGATCTCATAGATAACGAAAACCTAAGTCTGCTTAGACAGTTAACTTCTCAGAATCCAGCACGAACTTAAAAATCGTTCTAAATTTCATCCTGTTTCCTACTTCCGAGAAACATACAAATTTAAAGCCTAAAAGAAGCTCGAAACTGAGGAAACGCAGTAGAAACAGTCTAAAGAAGCTTACCGCGAGGATGACGACGGTGAACACCCCAATCATAACTAAGAACGCAACCTGATCACGTTGACAGCAGTTCCTCAACTCCCAATTCGGCATTCTCTTCCAATCTCTTTGCCTTCTGCTCGATTAAACAGAAACTCTCAGGTTCCACAAGACAAATGCTCGATCTCCTCTGGCAAAGAGACGATTCAAAACTGCAGAGGGAGAAAGAGAAATGTTGGGCTCCACTTTCTACTGGAACATCGTTGAAATGTCATGGGCCAATCGCGTGAGAACCAGAAAGAAATTTCTAACAAATGGACAAAGATTTATTTTGGAAATTCGAAGTTGCCTGGCGGAAGACTCGGTGATTGGTCAATCCGAACTTTGCAGAATTTTTGTCTTTTTCTACTCTACAGATCAAAAGTGGTTTAACCACCAAGACGCAGCCAATTCTAGAACGAATCATTCTCTTCATTTTGAAATGATCGGTTCTTCATTATCATCAATTTGGATTTCGTGAAATAATTCATCAATGGCCGGCTCATAAATCAAACTTCGATGGATTAAGCCGTCAAATTCTTTGAATAGGATATAGATTTTTAATTTTTACTAAGCCGGTTTATTGTAGTGTGATTTTTCCATTTTTAGTTCAAATATATATAAAAGAAAATTATGAACTAATTCATAAGGTATTTATTATATTTCAAGATCCGATGTAATTTTTAGAACTCGGGGACTTAAAAATGTTATTAAAAAACGTTTGATTAAAAATATAAATTTAATAATAAGTTTGAAGAAAATGTCGTTTAAAAATTAAAAAAATTATAATTTTAATACATTTTAAAATAATACTTGAATGGATCTCAATTTGCCTAATTCAAACTTTATTTTAAAATTTGATATAATTAGGCAAGTGTATATGTTAGACTCAAAAACTTTTAGAAGTTGGTGTGGGCTTGAATTGAAATCCAAGTAATACTTTAGGCCCACTGGATTTGGGCTTATGGTTATTAAATGGTATGATCTGTTTTAGCATTAAAATGGTTATAATTTGATTCTTAAGTTCTGCCATTTTGGTAAAAGAATTTGTTTCGATATTTGGAGTTAATTTTATTTATTATATTGGACTTAAAATTGAAGTTACTTGATCTTAAAATCAACCTGTTTTTTTAGTTCACAAATTTAGAGAGGGGAGATTGAACCTCTGATCTTCTAGAAAGAAGTAAATGTTTAGCTTAGCCCTTAGGTTTGCATTAAGATCAACCGTCTCACTTATTAAAACATTTAAAAAAAAAATTACAATTTACTCTTTAATTTTATTAAATTAAACCTTTGAGGAAATGTTGAAATTAATTATAACATTAATTTAAGAGATTGTAAACTATCCTTGGTTTTAATTGAGAATAAGAAGTCAATCCTATATTTAGTAGGTTTATAAACTATTTAACAAGAGATTAGGAAAACTCAACCTTATTAATACTGGTTTAACTAATTGAACTGGGCTGACATCGATCATAGTCTCATATCCTTTATAACATTGTGTTGTATAATACAAATATAGGTTACAAAATCTTTGGTGGTATATTAATTGAATTGGTTGAGATGAAAACTTAGGTAAAAAGTGAAAAATGATAAAAGAGGGGACATCCAAGTTGTTGTTTCAACTTCACGCCTCTCTATTTCTTTTGAGTTGGGGCCATGACCATGAGTTAGCCTTTAATTCAAAAAGTTAGCTTTTTAAAATTATTCCAACGTGTGTTGTTCCATCTTTAAGTTCAAACCCTCATGGCTTACTTGTAAAGTTCCCACCATATCAAAATCTTTGCTTCCATCTTAATTCATTTTTTTAAACTTCTCTTTTTCAATTTGGATCAAAATAAATTACTGCTTATATATGTTAAGAATAGGACTAGTTTGAATTATGTGATCTAAATAGTGTAAGTTAAATTATGAAAATAACATTGTTTTCTGATTTTGAATTTGAAATTTTAAAATTATAACTATATTTAAAGAAAGAAAAAATTTTGATAGAAATATTATTTCGTATTATAAATTATAAAATATGGTAAAATAAAAATTCTACGAGATTTATAAGAAAAAATATTAATAAATTAAGTAATATTATTTTAAAATAATTAAGTAATTCTAAGCGTTTTAAATTGAGATTCAATTTTTAAACCTACACATGTATTTGAAAATAGAATATTTATAACATAGCTGATTGAAAATTTATCCAACGCTCACGCCCAAAGAGGGAAAAAGGGAAGAAAAAGAGGGAATCACAACTTTTTGACAAATTATTAGTAATAATTCGACAATTATTATTGTTTAGATATTTCATTTTTTCTTTTTTCATGTCAATTTCAAATGAAGGACAGCTTTAAGATTGACCAATTATACAAAAATTGCTAAAGTTTAATTTAAGTTAGCTACCAACTTAGCTTAGTTTAATTGGTTAAGCAATCATTTCTTAAGAAAAAATATAGTTAAAAATTTGACGCTTAATCTTTAAAAAATTTCATATACGAAAAATGATACGACATCCCCAAAAAAACTACACACATTTGTTAACAAAATAGACGTACCAACTACTATGATATTGTTGTTTTATTATATTTAGAAATATGGATATGTCATTGGAATGTTGCTTAACATGATATTTTAACTGAAAATTTGATCAGCTCATCAACAGGTCCATTCCTTTCGAGTTACACATCCAAATATATTTTAAAAACAATAATTTAGTGATATATAAATTTTTTATTAATTAATTTTAAGATTTTTATTTTTTATGAAAAGGATTTAGTGAAAATTTTAAAACATGTTAAAGAGTAAAATTAAGAAATTTAAATGATTAGGGACTGAAAAAACATTGAATTTAGAGTTGGCTTGATTGGTTGGTGTCATTTCTGATTTGTGAGTTTTTGTTGCCGACATAGTTGTCGCCATATGCTTAACGGAATTTTATGACGTTACAAATTTATCCAAGTCTTCTTTTTGGATAATCTGTTTTCAATTTTTTCATTGTAATATTGTTTGGATAAATTTAGTTTTTGCAAGATCTTAGTTTAAATTTAGTAAGTTGAGAAAGTAAGACTATTATTAACCTTTTCAAATCTTTTTTTATTTTTATTTTGTATTTTATATCTCCGGTTACAAAGATTAAATTTTAAAATAAAATTAATAATCATCTATCCAAGTAATTGTTTTTAAAAAGTGGGTATATGGAGTCATGGACCATATTATAATTGAGATTTTTTAATTTTTTTCTAAAAATAAGATGATTAAATAATCACAAAAATTAAAAATCTAGCGCCTTATTATGAGTGAAATTAAAATATCTACAAATTTATGGTTATAATTAACTTAGTTAAATTAATTTTTTATTTATAAGTAAAGTCTGGTAGTCTAAAACCACATACCATGAAAAAACTAAATTTAAATTATAAATATTTAACAATTAATTAGATGATTAAAGGCCAAATGAATAAATAAATAAAATGTACCTCTAAATTTAGTGACCCTAAATTTTCAATTCGACAAAAGTTCCATCTTTACCTTAAACTTGAATAAGTATTGCAATATTTATCTTCTTCTATGCTTTTGTTTGAAGAATTACTATAAAACATTATGATGTGAGTTCAATTAATTACAAAAGTTAAAGGCTAGTACAAAATTGTTAGGGAGCCTCAATACCTAAAACCCAACATTAAAACCATTTGGCAAATGTAACTCCTACATAAATTTTCCACCCTACAATCTCTTGGTGGGAGATATATGTCAATTATTGCTGAGCTATGTTTGTTTTCACACACCTACCTAACTAGAAACCTTGTAATTAATCTAGTCTGGTTATTTAGTCAAAGATCTTTATAAACCAACCTAGCTTCTCAAGGTTAATAAAGTAGAGCATCATATTTGTGCAAGTTGAGGATGGTTTTGAGGTTTTGCTTGATAGTTCTATCACATGATAGATCAATGGGCAGTTGAAAAAGACAGAGGCAATCCTTTTTCTTTTGTATGGAAAATATGGTGTGAGATTAAAGGGGTTTTTTTGGGACAAAAAAGTGGTAAGATAAAAAGCCATTTGTGTTGAAGGCCCCATTCTTGAATGCAACCTCTTGTGCCATTGCCATTGGCCCTATCAAAATTAATAATCCCCAAAATTTTCAAATTTATGTTCATCTTTAAAAGGGTGGGTTGAGGCCCACGTTTTGTGTTTGGGATTTATTTAAATAGTAATTTAGAAGTGAATTAAAAAAGGTCAATTGTTATCGCATAGATTTTAGAATAGGCCTAAGAGTAGATAATAAATAATAATCATGTTGATGTGTGGCCCAACTTTTCTCCACACACAAACTCAAAATTATAAACGACTATGTCTATTCATTTCTTTTTAAAAGTGGAGCATTAGATTGGTAGCAAATAAGCAATTAAGGTAAACACTGCATTTCTATCACATCAAGATAAATGGTCTATAGAATAAGAAATTTGCTTATGCTCACTTCACTAGAAAAATAACTATTTGGATTGAGATTTGAGAGGAGATAGCTTTCTTAACCAATAAATTTGTGAACTTATTTTGAGAACATTAACATTGACGAAAAGCATTCCCTCCAGATTTACCTCTAGATCAAGGATATTAACAATAAGATTTGCAGCCTCACATCGTGTATCGAACGTGCCATTAAGTAGACAGATAGCCTTCATACAATTCGATGAAATCACTAAATTTCGAAGCCCCACCTATCGCAAGACAAAGAGCCTCTTTGATGGCAGGAGCTCGACGTGCAATGACGAGTACTCCACTGACAGAAATTTGGACAAAGCAAAGTCTAAGGAATGAGGGCTCGAACGAATAGTAATCCCTAACTCAAACACAGAGAACATCGACTTATCTTTTTTAGGCACACACATACATTTACTTATTTGTACTAAAAAATCAATATTTTTACCATACTTATTATCATCCACACGTAATTATTGTTTAGGGATTTGTTTTTTCTTTTTTTGATACATTTGTTTAGGGTATTTAAACATGGAAGAAATTGGCAAATATTTAAAATTTTCCCATGAGACCAAATTGAAATTATTGCTTAACAAAATTCCACCATGGCCGGTTCTTATTGAGCTCTCTCTCTCTCTCTCACTTCCTCTTAACCCAATAAAGTCTGATACGAAGAAGACTCGGCCTCTGAATAGCCTTCGAAATCTGTTCAATTGTCTCCGTCTTCTTTCTCACACTCCAATTTTCCATTCAAATTCTCTGTTTATGTTCATTTCCAGAGTCAGAGGCTCTGTTCGATTCCGACTTCATGGCGATCGAGGCGGTTTGTCCCGATATTTCCGTTCCCGCAATGAGCCCTAGAATTTCGTTTTCCCACGACTTCTGCCAGTCTGAAGCTATTCCCGTTGAACAGCGCCCTAAATCCCGATCCAATTCCTCCGGTTTGAATTCCAGCATTGATTTCGATTTCTGCATTCGTGAGTGTTCCGATCAGGAATCGTCTTCCGCGGATGAGATTTTCTCCCACGGCAGAATTCTCCCGCTCGAAATCAAGAAGAAACCGGAGGATCCTCCCGTGCTGATCGATCAGTCTTCTTCTGCTCCGGCTCCATTGGCGCGAACACGATCTCTCGATGCCGATGTGGAGAAATGCTTGAAGAAAGATAGATCTTCGAAGGAAATCAAGGCCGCGAATAGTGATTCCGAAGAGAAGCAGAGTTCCAATTCCAAATCCTTCTGGCGTTTCAAAAGAAGTAGCAGCTGTGGCTCTGGATACACTCATAGCTTATGTCCTCTGCCGCTTCTATCACGAAGCAATTCCACTGGCTCTGCACCGAATATCAAGCGAACGCCATTGTCGAAGGACGGTGCAAGCCACAAACAGAGCTCCCATAGAAATTCCTCCAAAACTTCATCATCACATTCACAGTGTTCATCTTCAATGGGATATCAGAAACCTCCACTGAAGAAGGTACACGGTTCGTACGGTAACGGAGTTCAAGTAAATCCTATTCTAAACGTGCATTCGGGGAATCTTTTTGGTTTGGGCTCAATATTCTCCTCTGCCAAGGATAGAAGCAAGAAAAAGTGATTAGTTTTTCCCTTTTTTTTTTAATAGTCATCCGATTGTCTGATTTGCAAAAAGGTTGTGGAATCTGCAATTTCCTTTATCTCCTTTTGCCCTTTTGATCTCGAATATGATTCTTAAAACTCAAAATGCAAAGTTGGAAGAGTTCCTTTTTTTTTTCCTGCCCTCATTCACCGATTGATTGACGTTAAAACAAAACCAATCTTGGATGAAACATTAAAAAAAATGGCTTATGGCTTTTGGGGTTGAATTTAGAGGGAGAGAAGAAGAAGAAGATGGATAATGTATGGTAGGATGTGAGCGAGTGGTGGCATGCATAATTGAAAGGCAGATGCAGCAAAAAAAGGACAGGTTAGGCATTACTTTTCCATTGTTTGTCTATTGCTCTTCTTCTTTTTCTCATTTTGGTATTTTCTAACGCTCAGAAATGTAAATCTGAAATTGGTTTCTATGAAAAAAATAAATAAATAAATAAAAAATCTTAGTCAAGAAACAGTGTACTTTTGTGTGTAGGGTGTGGTTGTGTCTCAAGTGTTTGTATTTTGGCTTTGAGGGAATATTCATGAGTGTGTATCCATTATTGGGATCTTTTTCATTTCTAATTTACTTTTATCCCAGGTAAAAGATATTGTATTTACTTTCAAATATTCTCAAAATGTTTTTAGGTATGTTTTGTAATCATTTTGTTTTTTGTTTTACATGTGTTTATAAATATTTTTAAAATCTAGACTCAATTTTAAAAAGAAAATTAAAAAACTTGTCTTTTAGTACAACATGTTGGGGAGGGGATTCGAAGCTCTTGATTGGAGGTATATCTGCCAAATTTGTTTTTATTTTTATAATTTAGCTAAAAGTTCAAATATTTTTTCAAGAGAGGTGAAGAACTTATCAATGAAATTGTATAAATTTGAACGGGTTATCTGATCACTTTTTAAAAAATCTTTTAGAAAAAATAATTAAATGTCATTTTTAAAAGCATTTTAAGTGCTTTGAAAATTCTCAAATTTACTGTAAAAGCTATATTAAAACCACTTTGAAACCACTATTCTCATGCTTTTTAATTTTTATTTCATTTATTAATATAATATAACCAAGCGTTTGAGAATTTTGAAAAGCATTTTCATTTGTTTTTTTAGTAAAGTAATTTCTATAAGTCAAATCATCGTCCATTTGATTTTTTAACAGCATCTACAATCTTTTGCTATTTGACACTGACAACCAGTTAAGACATCTATTCTTTATTAAATAGTTATGAATTCGAATCTTAATTTCTACCGGTTGTACTTCAAAAAGTAGAAATATTCTATTAATTAGGTGATTTCTTTCATTTGAAAAAAAAAAAATCAAATTATCTATATCATAAAAATATTTGGTTGAGTTAAGTTAGCTAAACTATTAATGTTTATTGAAATATTTGTGGTGATGTGTTTTTGTATTATATCACACAAGTAAAAAGATAACTCTGAAATGCATTTTCATAATCTATAATATATAAAAGTGGTAAATTATAGATTTAATATGTGATCCTTCAACTTTCACTAAATAATAATTTAGATTGTCATTGTTATTTTCACCTCATTGTTTAATATATATATATATATATATATATATATATGACATGATTTTAAAGTGGTAACATGGATATGTATTCAAAATAATTATTTTTTAAAGTTCATAGACTAAATGTTACCCGACCGAAAAAATAATTATTTTTTAGAGTTCATGGAGTAAATGCTACCCTACCAAAAAAAAATAAAATAAAATAAAAAACAGGTTAAAATAACCAATAAATACTTTGAAATTTAAACTTCTGTTATATTTTAAAATGATTTTGAATATTATTCTAATATAATTTTTATTATGATCCCAAACTTTTAGTATTTTTCCAAGTTTAATTAGTAAAAAGCTATTTTAATTCTTGTAATTAAATTTTAATTATTTAATAAAAACATGACATGAGCGTAAATGTCTCCATGAGAAAGTGGTTTACATAATATAAGTCTAGTCTTTTAATTTTTAAACTTAGTCCAACAAACTATTTTAGTCATCAACATTCATTTTATAATAATCATTTAACAAAAAAAAAAAAAGATCTATTTTAGAAGTTTTTAAACCAAAACGAAGTAAAATAAAATATGCAAATAGATCCAAATAGGATTTAAACAACTCTACAGAGAAGTTATCATAGTAGTAAAGCCTTTTCTTTTCTTTAAATTATTTAATATTTATATGTAAATTTTGTCTCAGCTCAAGTAGAGAAAATTCAAGTTTTTATCCAAAAAACGAAAATAATATATAAACAGTTTTGAGTCTCAACTTCAACAGTAAACATTCTGGACCGTAACTGGGAAAAGCCCAAGTCAAGTCTTACCAGGCCCAAGGCTAAGCCTTAAATCCAGGCCCAAACTCCGACCGGAAATAGCATCATCTCCTACAATTCCGACCGGCGGCGACAAAACTACGGCATGCCGCCGCAGCGCAAACGTCGAAGGCGGCGGAGGAGAAGGACCCACCACCGTCGGCACCGCCGCCGAGGCAAAGGACGGCGACAGCCAGCTCTGCA